GACATTTGGAGACAGGTCTGTGTTTAATGTAATTAGAAGGCTGTATGTGTGACATTAAGGAACGCAGGCATTTGTTGAATGTCTACATAGTACATGGCATAGTCCCAGGGCTGGGGCTGGGAGGACAGGGGAATGGGAGGGAGATGGCAGGCCCCTGCCCTCTGTGAGCTCTCAGTCCTTTTGGGCAGACAGACAGGTCCACAACTAACTCTAATATGAGGTAATGTAATTGGGCCCTTCACCCCCACCCCTCAAAAAAAAGTTTCTTCCTTCCCACTTCTTCCCACACCTATTCGTGCCCCAAACCCCAGTCAGGGCTTTTCAACCCAGTTCATGGTTCTCAGCCAGGGGCTGAGGGATGAGGCCATTTCAGATGATTTATCTGTGTTCTGAAGGTGTATTGGTGACCCCACTCTAGGTAGGGTCAGGTAGAATTCAAACAACTGATCTTGTTAGAATTATATCTTTTTAAGAATCTTTGCTTCAACCAGGCCTGGTAATGTGTGTGTGTGTGTGTGTGTGTGTGTGTGTGTGTGTGTGTGTGTGTGTGTGTGTTTAAATATATTTTTATTGCTTTCAAGGAAGGAAGAAGAAGGAGAGAGAGATAAAAAACATCAGTGATGACAGAGAATCATTGATTGGCTGCCTCATGCATGCCCTACCCTGGGGATGGACCCCACAACTTGGGCATGTACCCTGACCAGGAATGGAACCATGACCTCCTGGTTCATAGGTCGCCACTCAACCACTGAGCCATGTTGGCCGGGCATAATTCATTATTTTGATATTTGGTTCTTGTTGTTTTGGAGACCACAATGGTTCAGCCCTGCAGCATCCCCCTAGGCACTGAGATGAGTTGCAAAGCAGGTGAAGGAGGCAGGTATGAGGCAGAAGAAAGAAAAAGTGCTAAACCAAACAAGTGACCGAGGAAATAGAAAGGGGGATGTGATCAGTGGAGAGAAATGGAGGTGACACCTGCTAGTGAGCAGACACAGCTGGGCCAGCCTCGGGACAGAGCCCTCCTGTGGCTGCAGACGTGTGGTGGAGGGGCGTGGAGCCCAGCGTGAATGGCTGGACACATGTGGAGGATGTCTGATAACCAGGGAGGAAGAAGGGAGAAAAAGGAGATTTGGGTACAAAAACCAGGGTAAAGGGGGAGCCTCCGCTGAGAGAGGCCAGGAGATGGCCAAAGGCCAGGAGCTCAGCCTGAATGTGGCTGGGTGAGGCGGACAGTGCAGGGTAGGAGAAAGCACAGGGTGACTATCCTAGGGGAGAACCCCAGGCCTGCAATCCCTTTGCTGTGTAAATCCATCTCAGCCACCCCTCCCAGCACTGAGAGTGGGTCTGAATGGGAAGTGTTGTCCAGATGTGCTTCCAGCAAAGCCCTTAGAGCAGCAGTTCTCAACCTGTGGGTTGCGACCCCTTTGGGGGTCGAACGACCCTTTCACAGGGGTCACCTAAATACATCCTGCATATCAGATATTTACATTACGATTCATAACAGTAGCAAAATTACAGTTATGAAGTAGCAACGAAAATAATTTTATGGTTGGGGATCCCCACAACATGAGGAACTGTATTAAAGGGTCGCGGCATTAGGAAGGTGGAGAACCACTGCCTTAGAGGTTCAGCGCAGGGAAAGGGCAATGGCCTGGGAATGAGAAGCCTGGGCTTGAGTGAGACCAGCCGTGAGAACTTAGGGGGTCATTTCCCCTCCCTAACCCTGAACTTCTCCCCCTGCAAATGGGCATGCGGACGCCTGTTCTGTCTCTCTCGGGGTTTGGCAAACTGAATAACACATATGAAAGTGCTTTGTCAATGGTAAAATGATGAACATGTATATGGGAATCTGTTTTTCTTCTTCTCCTCTTCCTCAATAAAGTAGGTTTAGTAATGGCTCGGGGTGGGGTGACCTTCCTTGGTGATTCCCAGGCATTAAAATGGCCAAGCTCCTCAGGCTATTTTGAGATGCTATAGGAGTTTCATTCCTTGTATCACCTTTTGTGACATAAAGCCTCAGAAATGGTTCCTCTGGCATAAACACTCTCTCATTTCCTTCAAGGAAACGCATTGGGGGTAGTTAAGGTTCTGCTGACACAATCTGAGACTTAGCCTCTGTAAAGCACAGAGGTTAAGAGCAGTTGCTGGGGGCAGACTGCCTGAATCTAAATTCTGGCTTCACTACCTAGCAGCTGTGTGATCTTGGGTGTGTTACTTAACCTCTCTGAGCCTCAGTTCCTCATCTTCAAAATAGGGATAGCAAAAGCATTGGCTTCATAGAATTGCTGTGAGGGTTAATTGAGTTTATATGTATAAACTTATCTGTAATTTAGTGCCTGGCTTATAGTAAGAGCTCAATGAATGTGAGCTTTGAATACAATGTGATGATGATGATGAAAATGAATATTGTGGTGGTGGTGATGATAGTGATGATGATAATGATGGGCTGCTTGGTTTCCAGGGAAGCTCCTCACACCGCCCCAAGTATAATAGACCCGTCTACCCAGTAATTCTTCCCAGAACCCAAACCACTTCACACACGCACACATACACAAACAATGTCTCATCAAAGCTACTCTTATAATTATAAATGACAGGGCATTGGATGTGAACTTAAGAAGTACGGGTCAATCACCCTGGGGCCCCATTGACTCATTTCATGTCACCAGAAGAATCCCTCAACCACTAAATGACTCACCTTCTCTCTCTCTCCCCTTAAATGGGAAGAATAATGCTTGCCTACTCTGTCATGTGCAGGAATAAGTGCGTTTATTTTGTTAGGCAGCTTTGAACTTGTTGGATGAAAGGAGCTATTTAAGTACAAAGGAGGAGGTGAAGGTGTTTGAGCCAGGTGCTAAAATAAGACTAATCAAAATTGCTCTTCCTTAGTGAGACCCACTCGGGTAGTGCCTCAGGGGTGTGTCACCTGTGCCCAAACACCTCCACCACTTGGGAAAAGGCAGAGACACCGTGGGGTGGGAGAGGACGGCGTGGCAGCCTCTGACCCTTCCGAAGCTTCGTATGATCAGAGTCCTGGCGCCTCCCAAGCAAATCAGCCCTGTCTACATGGACAGTGGCCGATAGATAAGAAGAGTCTGGGCTTGAGAGCAGTTGAAGGCAGAGAGCTCCAGAGCTCTCTCCACCTCTGGAGCTTGAGACTGTGGTCACTCCTGCACCAAATGGACTGGATTCAACAACCATCAGCCGGACTTTGTAAATGTCCCAGCAAGTGACTTCGATTCAGAGGGATCACAGAGCAGAGAGGGCTCCACTTTAACACGTAAGACAAATACGACCTCGAAAGCGGAGTCATAGAATCTGGGGACTAGAAGACCCTCTGCAATCATCTCATCCAGCCCCATCAGCTATCCGAGTCCCCGCCTCAGCATCCCCACCAGGTGGCTGCAAAGGCCCTGCTTGCGTATCTCCTGTGATGGGGAACTCCCTGCCTCCTGCCTTTGGCCAGGTGCAATGCTGCTTTCTGGAGATGTGCTGTTCTCAGCCTAAATATGGAGCCTCCAGCCCATGTGTCTATTGCCTGCACGTTTCAAGCCCAGCAGCTGCCAGAAGGACTTGCCAGGGGAGCCTGTTGAGGAGCATGGGTGGGTCAGTTTGATGGATAGACCGATAGTCTGACAGGCTCAGCAATCACCAGGGTTAAATATGTCCAGAGTTTCGTTATGTGCAGGGGAAATGCTCTAGCTCAGCGGTCTGAGGGATTCCTCCCCCATGGGACTGGCCAGGAGAGCAGGGCCAACCCCTTCTGCAGAGTCTGGCCAGGCAGGGGCTCACTCCCCAAATAAAGCCCCTAACCCGGTGGTTCTCGAACGTGAGAGTGCATAGAATCATCCGGAAGTCTTGGTAAACCAGACTTCGGCTTCAGAAAGTCTCGGGTGGGGCTCAAGAATGTGGATTTTCCACAAGTTTCCAGTAGTGCTGGTGCTACCGGTTGGAGGACCACACTTAACCACCACCCTGAACCTTCTCATGTCGGATTGTTTTCCCCTTCAAAGCTCCCAGAGGATGGGCTTTGGTCTAGTTCAGTGGCCGGCAAACTGCGGCTCGCGAGCCACATGTGGCTCTTTGGCCCCTTGAGTGTGGCTCTTCCTAAGCCTTAGGAGTACCCTAATTAAGTTAATAACAATGTACCTACCTATATAGTTTAAGTTTAAAAAATGTGGCTCTCAAAAGAAATTTCAATCGTTGTACTGTTGATATTTGGCTCTGTTGACTAATGAGTTTGCCGACCACTGGTCTAGTTCAAAGGGACTGCGGGTCAAGCCTTGACTCAGCCACCAGCTGAGTATAATGACAGCTGCTCCCTGCTTTCGGGTTTCTGTGGGACCCTGGTCACAAGGTCTGTAATGCCCAGCACGGGGCCTTGCTGGTCAGGAGCATGAGATCACGAAGCTGACTTTATGCCGAGACCCGGCAGGACCTCTGGATGGAGCTTTTCCTCTGCACAAGAGCCGTGATGCTGCAGCCAGATAAAGGGGTGGAGTGTTTTAGTGTCTGTGTCTTAAAAGCTCTGTGAATCCGGGTCTAAATAGGCTGGGTCAGGTCCAGAGCCAGGCATCTCTCGTCCATGCCGTTTTGCTGCAGTCCCAGTTCAACCCCAGTCGTCACCGGCTTTGCCATCTCCCAGAGCCACAAGCCCTGCTTCTGCGGGAACGGCTGGTTCAGGGAGCTCCCAGCATCGCTCTTGGCATGGGATGGAGAAACTGAGACCAGCAGGCTCTGGCCTCCTTATGCTGCAGAAGGTGAAGTTTATTAGTAAAATAAAAAAAAAGGTTACCTGCCACATCTCAGGGAAACCGGGAGGCAATGGAAGAGAGAAAAGGAAGCACAAGTCCAGGGCCCAGAGCTGAGCAGCAGGACCGGAATCCCACCAAGAAGCGCCGCCTGCCTGGCTCCAGTCTCCGAGGTTGGCTGAGGCAGTAAGGCTCGATGGAGCCGAAGGATCGTGTTCTGTTTTCTGGCACCTCGGGCTGAGGAATATGTCAGCGCCGAGGCGATGAGCAGGGCCCACGGGAGGCCTGAAGAGGCCTGGAAGAGCAGGGAGGGCAGGCGGTACAGGCTGCAGGGGCTGGACAGGGGGTGCTGGAGGCCGGGGTTGTGCATGGGTTGCAGGGAAGCCTGCCAAGAGAAAAACGCTGTTTGTAACATTGGCATCAGAAGTTCATGAAAGATAAAAGTATACCGCATTCTAGAATCGGAGGAGCAAACAGGGTTTTAGACCTTGGGTAACAAGTTTGTCTTCAAAGATTGTGTCTGCAGTGCCACCTCTAGGGCATTGCCAATAAGAGGTCTCTGCTTTTACACGTGACATTGACACAGACATCAGAGGACCTACTTGCAGTCCTCACTCTCCAGAAGGTTCCGGTACGTGGCGATCTCGCCTTCCAGCCTGGCCTTGACGTCCAGCAGCACCTGGTACTCCTGGTTCTGCCGCTCCAGGTCAGCCCGGATCTCAGCCAGCTGCTCCTCCACGGTGCTGACCAGGCACTGCATCTGGGCCAGCTCGGTGCCGAAGCGGGCCTCGGCCTCACACAGGGAGTTCTGCAGACAGTCCTTCTGTGATGCCAAAGAAATTGAGAAGCAGGTTAAAAAGCATGGATTCCTGCCCGCAGGCTCTGCAGCCAGATGATGACACCCCCAGGAGGTTGCCAGAGAACAGTCCAGCCCCTGTTAGCAGTCTCCAGCTGGAGGAACGGACAACATGCTATGGCTCTTCATCGTAGACAGTTTGCAGAACCTCCTCCACGGTGCTGATCAGGCACTGCATCTGGGCCAGCTCGGTGCCGAAGCGGGCCTCGGCCTCGCACAGGGAGTTCTGCAGACAGTCTTTCTGTGATGCCAAAGAAAATGAGAAGCAGGTTAAAAAGCATGGATTCCTGCCCGCAGGCTCTGCAGCCAGATGATGACACCCCCAGGAAGTTGCCAGAGGACAGTCCAGCCCCTGTTAGCAGTCTCTAGCTGGAGGAGTGGACAATGTGCTATGGCTCTTCATCGTAGACCTTGGGAGGGGTTTGCAGAACCTTCCTCATCTGGGTTAATGTGCATTCCCTCAGCATTCACATCATGAGAATGTTCAATGCTAAGGAGATGAGGTCAAGGTTCAGGCTGTGCCCTGGTCTCTATTTAAGGGAGGCATATACTGAACCCGGAACTGTTCCTGGGAGTGGGAGCCAAGCCCAGTCTTCCATGCACACACAGGAGCTCACCAGGTGGTGTTGAGCCTGAAGCTCCACCTCCAGGGCATTCACTGTGCGTCTCAGCTCCAGGATCTCCGACTGGCAGCACTGCAGCTCCTCGGAGCAGGATGTGGCCTGCAGGCTGATGCCTTCAGACTGAAGCACAGTGGGATAAACGACACAGGTCAGCTCACTGGCCCACATGGAAGCCGGGCTCCCCCAGCCCACCTGCCCCCTGCTCCGCAGCACCGCCTCACCTGAGCTTCGAACCACTGCTCCACGTCACGCCGGTTGGTCTCCACCATGGTCTCGTACTGGCACCGCATCTCCTCCAGCACCCTGCTCAGGTCCACGGTGGGCTCCGTGTCCAGCTCAATCAGGAGCCTGTCTCCCAGCTGGCACGTCAGAGTGTGGACTTCCTGTGGGCACAGAAGGAGGATGTCCTATTCACTGAGCTCCTACTACCTCCACCCAAAGCCTCAATGATCTCCCACTGCCCGTCATCCCAATGATTTTCCTTCACGCTCTGCGGATGAAGAACATGCTCCCACTGAATACCAGAGCTCCTCTTCATAGCTTCTGAGGCTTAACCATAAGGCAGGGCCGGCAGAGCTTCCATCCTGAGCCAGAGGAAGAGCCTCGTTTCTTCCTTCAGCTGAGCCTGCATTCACTCCCCAGACGTCTACACAGATACACAAAGGACCCCACCTGTTCATGGTTCTTCTTGAGGCAGAGCAGCTCCTCCTTCAAGGATTCCACCTGGGCCTCCAGGTCGCACTTGGCAAGTGTGAGGTCATCCAGCGCCCTGCGCAGGCCGCAAATGTCGGCCTCCACCAGCTGGTAGAGTGAGTGCTCCATCTGGTACCTTTACCAAGTCAGGTATAGGAGTTGAGGTTCAAGGGTAGAAGGGACCCCAGGACCCAACGTACACCCATAACGTCACTGGCTCCTCTCTGCAATCTCATTGTGAGTTGGCATTTGCTGTGTAGTGTGCTCATAGTCAGAAAGCAGTAGGGTGCTCCCCACTCATTCAACACTAAGCACCTAAGATGAACCCGCAAAGTGGCCGGTACTGAGGATACTGGGATGGACAGATGGCTGACGGCCAGAGGGGAGGCAGCAGAGTAATGAGGTAATTACGATGCAGTGTGATCACCGCAGAACCCCCTCTTCCATTTTCCCTGCTGAGACGGACCCTGGGATCTCTCTCAGATTAAAAGCCAACAGCGAGCATGGAATGAAGGAAATGACTTTCTTTAGCTCTAGAGGAGTGAGGCTTCCAGGTGCCCTGAAGAAAGACGACAAAACATAAGGCCCCTTCCTGCTCCCAGGCGGGACCTTCTCAGGTGGTATAAACCCTGTGACCTCCACATGCCTCCATGGCATCATGAATTACTAGAGCTCACACATTAGTCAGGCTGCAGTGTGGAATCATATCCTCACTGAGGCAGCAAAGTTCCTAGGAAATGGCCTCAGGGTAGGAAACCAGGGGCCAAGTTCCAGTTCTACCTCTCAGTAGCCACGTGACTTCTGGCAAGTCACATCAGCACTCTGAGCCTCTGCGTCCTCATGAAGGAGAGACCATCACTGTCCTGCATACTTCACAAGGTTCTTCTTACAATGGAATCAAGTGGCCGGTGGTTCTAAACTGTCATGTTGTCAACTCTAAAGGCTAAACAATTATGGGGGGAAGGGGGTTGTTCTTCCAAGATCTTGGGCTTAATTGCCCTTTGTTTTCTCTTGCTGGCACTGTTGGTTTGGTCCTGGTCGGGGGTTGTTCTTCCAAGATCTTGGGCTTACTTGTCCTTTATTTTCTCTTGCTGGCACTGTTGGTTTGGTCCTGTTCAATTACATCTCTGATGCCAACTGCATCACAGGAGAGAAGAAGCCAGAAGAGGCCTCTGGCCCTGTCCCCTCCCCACCTGACCCCAACTCACTTGGTCCTGAAGTCATCTGCAGCCAGCTTGGCATTATCAACTTGGATGACCAGCCTGTTGTTCTCAGATTTGATGCACAGGATCTGAGGAAAGAAAGTAGGCTCAGTGATTCACTGTTCTCAGACCATCTGTGGCCTCAGGTCAAAAGAAGTCCTGTTGGCTGGGTTCAAACTGCAACATCCCCTTGGACAAACACAAACTCCCAAACGTGTAAGAGATGCTTGTGCAAACTGAACATATAAAAAAGATCATTTTATTTTGCCAAATGTGATGCTTAGCCAGATATAAACAAAAAGATCTGGAGTCTAGACCAGAGAACAATGGCTGGTTATGAAAGTTTTAAGGTGGGATCCATTCCTAATAAGAAGTCCTTTGCGCTGGTTGGTCAACCTCCCCAAAGGTCTTCTCTGAATCTAGCCAGATTTCTGTGGGGGGCCATTCTGACATTCCTTGTCTTCCTGTCTTCAGAACTAAGATGTAGGCTCTTAAGCAGCATTGACATGATCATCAGAGGGGACAGCTGATGTGCAGAAGAGGCCAGTGCTACTGAATGGATATACTCTGGCTCATGCAGGACATTGGAGCATACTCCTCTGACCCCTTTTACTGCACCAGAAGTTAGTTGCACTGTTTTTGCAACTACAGTTTAGGAATTTAAGTACTGAACCTAAGTAAGCAGAAACTCAGAATCCTGGCAAGGCAAATCCTACGTCTCATCTTTTACACGTCCCCATTCACCTCCACTTGAGAGTTTCTCTTCCCACATCTAAAAAACATTTCAGCTATTGCTGCTTCCACTGCCAGTCCAGGCCCTGGACATTTAGTGCCAGAGTCAGTAATCTTTGTCTGTAAAGGGCCAGAGTGTAAATATTTTAGGCTTTGCAGACCATTGGTCTCAGTCATGACTACTCAACTCTGCCACTGTAGCACAAAGACAGCCAAAGACCATACATCAATGAAATAGCACAGCTGTGCCAATAAAACTTTATTTACAAAATCAGGCAGCAGGCCAGATTTGGCCCACGGGCCACAGTTTGCCAACCCATGACCTGGAGAACCCCAAACCTCACCTTCTGCTGGAGCTCCTCGAGGGTCTGGAAGTAGCCCTGGTAGTTGGGGCACATGGTGCTCTCATGGCATTTGCTCCACTCTCGGATCTTGGTCTCCAGCTCCGCATTCTCCTGCTCCAGCTGCCGCACCTTCTGCAGGTAGTTGGCCAGGCGGTCGTTCAGGAACTGCATGGTCTCCTTCTCATGGCCGTTCAAGGTGCCTTCACCGTAGGCCCCACAGCTTCCGATGTTGGCAGGAATGTTGCGGGTTCCTGGCAAGGGGCAAGCATTGTGGCAGCTGTTGGGCAGACAGAGATTGGGTCGGCCCAGCGGGGTGGTCCCCACTCGAACTCGGTTGACATGTGCCAGGCTGGCCAAGAGGCCCTGGCAGGCAGCCTTTTCCTCTAAGCCGGGGTGGTACCCAATATCACCGGAGGAGGGGCAGATATTTCTTTCTCCAGGATTCTGGATGCTGCCCAGAGGCTGGCTTGAGGTCATGTAGAAGGAAGTCATGGTGTGGGCTGACGCTACACAGGAGGTTCAGAGCAGCTGGAAAGGCCAAGACACGAGTCTGAGAACCCCCTTCCTTCCTGGGCCTTTTATACCCCATCCCAGATGGGTGTTGGCTCAGTGTTTTGACCTCACTGCCTTGATTCTCGACCTGTTGTTGTACCGCCATCCTGTTACTCAGCTGTTGAGTTTACCACCAAGAGTTCCTCACCTCATTAAAGGGATGTTGATGATCTGAGGTGCCTCTTGCCTCTTTGATATCAGATTGTCTGTTCATGGAAGGTCAGAGTTTTATATTCCTACTCAACCACCACCAACAGTTAATGCAGCCTCAGATGTCCTCACTCTGTGCTGGATGGTCTCCCTGTGGATGCAGCCACACTGAAGGATCAAATCTTTCAATCAATGATTTGTGTAGCAGGAGAGACAGCAAATCTATAAGATCCAGTGGCTCTCCCACCTATGGTTGGACTCAACCCAGCTTTCTTTTCAAGAGAAATGCCATTGTATAAAACTAGCAAGTCTACTGATATTTGAATATTGGGTGGTTCTCATTTCTTCTTTTTTCTTTTCTCTTTTAAATTGCATACTCCCCTGGAGGAGCAACAAAGCATCAATGCACTACAAAACATTGCTGCTAATTCAGTTTTAGTTGACTAGTCCACATCCGCATTCATTCATTTATTCACTTGTTCAGCATGTTTCCTGAACACCCCCATAACTCAGGTGGTGTGCTGTGTCCAGGACATACAGTGGTCCCTGTTCTTCAGGAGAAAACAGTGTCACTGAAATCGTAGGGTCTTAAACAAATTTGAATGAGAATCATAGATCAATGAGAGTTAGTGAAAGAAAATTCATCATCCTGACCACAGGTGTATCTAGAGAGAAACTACTAACAAAAAACAATAATCGTATTTAATCCAGAAAAGGTAAATTGGGCAACAGAGCTCAAAGGATGTTGAGACATAAGTTCAAGAACTAACATTTATAGAGGATACAGGTAAGCTAGCTATTCTACTATATTCTTTCCTATTGAGTCCTTCCCACTTGTGAGGTGGCTGTTCTTAGCTTCGATGAGGAAACTAGAATAAAGTTCATTTTTGATTCACAGAGCTGATAAACTGGCAAGGGCTAGATTCCATCTCATATCTGTAGAGCCCATTCTCTCTCAACCTCACCACAACCCCCAGGGGGAACAACCTGTACTGCTTCCCAGGTCATTGCTCGGGAAAGTGTACAAGGCTTAATTATTGGACAGGAAGTTGGAGTGAAAAACAATATTATTGAGGGTCCTTGTATTCCGGCACAGAGATACTGAGGCAGGGAGGACAATAAAATGCACATAGAAAAAGTTATACTTAAATATGAGAATCTGTAACATATCTCGGATCCCAAAGAGTTTCAACAAAGCTGAGGAGCCATTGCGACCAACTTCTGTGGGGCCAGGCATTGCCCCTCCAAAGTGGCCAAGGAAAAGTAGAGGGACCTAAAGACTGAGGGAGATAGAATGGGATATTCCTAAAAGAGTATAAATAGGTCTCTTCTCTGAGCGAAGTTCAGGAATAAGGATCCCCATTGGAACCCAAATGGGAGGCAGTGGATATGAGGATTGGTGAGACCTAGGTTCTTGGAATTCTCTCAAGAAGAAATAAAATAAAGAGGACTGCAATTCTGCCCCGAAGGAAAACTGCTCTGGGTCAGCTGAGCCTCTCCCAACTACTGAGGTCATCGATGAAGAATTCTCTGCTGAGGCAGTCCTTAGAAGACCTCTCCCAGCCAGGTTGTCCTTCAGAGGCCTCGGAGCACAATCTGCATATGTTCATCTTCAAACACCTTTTTGTTTCTCTCTTCCGTGTCATCATAGCATCACTGTAATCCAGAGAATGGGACCATTAAAATGGTTTCCTTTGATTTGCTAAATAGGCTCCATCTTTTGACCCTATCCCCAGGCAGGATTTGTCCCATTGATGAACATCACGGTTCCTTCCATCTCAGAACACACTTCTAGGCATCAGAGCTGAAGTTTGCATCCCTGGCTGACACCCCCCTCTAAAGCTGGATTTTGTGCCCCCTCTCCCCCCATGTGGGCTCTGTAAGGTTTGTGTTGCATAGCAGCATTGATGCTGCCTGCTCCTCTGTAGAGCAGTGGATTCTGCTGCTTCTCTTTTGTCTCAAAGGAACTGGCAGTAAGTGGACAGCGTGAGGCAGGTGTTTGAGATACACTCAGCTGTGTAGGTGAGGAGGATCCCACCCTGGACACAGTAGACTGCCCTGTTCACTCCCCTGTGAAAACAGGCCCCAGTCCCTGAGTACAACATATATGAGCCGGGTAACATGAAAGGAGGTGCTGGCGATGAAGAACCAAGAGAAAGGTAGTCCTGCAGCCCTCCTTCATTCACAGGGGCCACCTCTGTCTTCTCTCTTCAGGGGTAAAATTTTTTGAGCTACCATCTATCTTCAGGGGGCGGGGGCCACTGGGTACAGAATAGCATCAGTCAATGCCCTGGCGTTGGGGCCATTCTGATGCGTCTCTGAGTGAGAGCAAAAGCAGTGGAGTTGGAGCAGCCCACAGGGCTTGGGTCTCACCTGCAGCCACCTTGTCTATTGCAGGGGGAGACTCTGAAGATACCTAAGCAAACGCGTGCTGTCCACAGGCAGCACCCACTGTGTGTTACAGCAGAAAGAAGTTTGCTTCTGGTAAAGATCAGAGTTAGCGGGAGGACACCTGAGGGATCTCTGATTTCAAAAGTCCATCTTGAGAGGCTTTGAAACGGAGGAAAAGTCACCATTTTCTTTTCTCTTCCATGTGATTTTTTTTAATGGACAGGGCTGTGTTTTTTATTGCAGCTAGCGTCATAGTTCATGACTTTGTTTTTTTTTCTTTATTGATTAAGGTATTACATATGTGTCCTTATACCCCATTACCGCCCCTTCCCACCCCCGCTCATGCCCTCACCCACCCTAGTGTCTGTGACTATTGGTTATGCTTATATGCATGCATGCAAGTCCTTTGGTTGATCTCTCCCACTTCCCCCCACTGTCCCCTGCCTTCTCTCTGGGGTTTGACGGTCTGATCAGTGCTTCTCTGTCTCTGGATAGGATTTTATACCTGTTACTTGAGCATCTTTAATTTTATTTTAAGGGTTTTTAACATTATTATTCTGCTTTATTTTTGTCCCAGGTCTTCAGTTCATCAGAGACTGATCAATATGAAAATAATTCTCTTCACTTCCTCTCCCCCGCCCCCCCATCTCAGGTTCCTTTATCTACATTCTAGCGCAGGACACTTGCTTTAATATTTATCTGCTACTAGAACCCATTACACAGAATTTTAAGGCAGCATAGCAGAGTGGTTAAGGCCAGGAACTATGGAGCCAGCCTGCTTGGATTCAAATTCTGGTTCTTCCATGTACCAGCTGTATGAACGGGGCCTGGTGACTTGACCTCTCTATGCCGTGGTTTCTGCATGTGAAAAACGAAAGCAGCAATAGCACCCAGGTCATCGATCTGTTTAAGTATTAAAGTTGATATCTATAAATCATCTATAATAATAAAAGGGTGATATGCTAATTAGACCGGACGTCCTTCTGGATGAAGCCAAGGCCTGAGTGAAGCTGCCCGGGTCCCGGGTGCCAGAGGGAAGCCGGTGCCAGCAGCCGGGGGAAGGAAGGCCTACTCTTGCACGAATTTTCGTGCATCAGGCCTCTAGTTTAAAATAATGTCTGGCAGGAAGCACTAAACAAGTGTTAGCTGTTACTTTTTTTCAGATGGCCTTTAATCATGGTTTAGATGTTCACATCATTTGTAATTCAAAAATGCTTATTAAATTACCATTTTGTACCTATTTAAGTTAGCAAAGATCAAAAAGGGGGGAAATAGGGGACATCTGTAATAGTGTCAACCATAAATTTTCAAAAAGGTTAATGTCACAAGGTTGGCACCATCACATACTATGGCGTCATACAACCTCTTTGCAAGGCAGGTCAGAAATGTCTATTAAAAGTACAGCTGCACATACCCTCTGACCCAGTTATTCCACTTCCGGGAATTTATGCTGCAGACACACTTACATGGACACATGTCCAAGGGTAACAAGGATATTCATAGCAACAGCTTGGGAGTCACAGCAGACCAGGAAGAAACAAAATGCCCACCAACAGGAGCCTGGTTAATGAGTTGTTCATCCATGTAGGAAAAGGCTTACAGCCATTACAAATAATGAGGTAGATCTATAGATGCTGACATAGAAATGACACCTACAATATAAGAGTAAATGAAAAAAAAATCCAAGTGCACAACAAGATACCTAGCATGCTACGTTTTATAATTACCAAAAGGGACATCTATGTAGACATAAATTTATAGCAAGACTGAATCGCAGACCATAAAGTCGGGTGTGAAAAATATATAGCTTTTCTGATACTTTAATTAAATTGCACTATTAATCTCCATCTCTCACTATGCCAAAGGGCAGAACCTTAATCTCAGTTATCTTAAGTACCCTTTCCCAAGGGGTGGCCCCAAGTTCCAGAGGCCTCTTTTCCATGGTGTTGGGGCTGAGGAGGAAGGCAGCGGTGTGTCCTCGGCGTTTTCATTCATCCACACTGCAGCCTAGGCGGCCCACCTGGGTCCTTCTGCCTAGAGCAGGGGTCCTCAAACTACAGCCCGTGGGCCACATGCAAATACAAATATTGTATTTGTTCCCGTTTTGTTTTGTTTTTACTTCAAAATAATATATGTGCAGTGTGCATAGGAATTTGTTCATAGTTTTTTTTTAAACTATAGTCCGGCCCTCCAACGGTCTGAGGGACAGTGAACTGGCCCCCTGTTTAAAAAGTTTGAGGACCCCTG